TATTTTAAAACAAATATCTCTAAGAGTCTTATTTTGGGAAACTAGAACAAATACATAAAGCTAAGAGCCATTTCCCAATGGATAAATAGTCAAAAGATATGAATACATTCAAAGAAGAACTGCATATTATTAACAACCATGTGAAAGATTGCTTCAGATCTCTCTGATATTAAGAGAAATATAAATCTGATATCAAGAGAAATATAAACTACTTTGAAGTTTCATTTTATACACAGAAAATTGGGAAAGATTTTTGAAAAGATGGGAATCATCCATGTTGGATGGACTTTGGAAAGATAAACATGCAAATGCACTTTTGGTGGAGCTGTGCATTCAGCCACTCATTCTAGAAAACAATTTGGAATTGTGCTATACATTTTGATCCAGAAATTCCTGTGCTAGGAATATACCCTTAGAAGGTTGGGGGCAGAAAGAAAGGTCTCATATGCATCAAAACATTCATAGCAGCACTTTTTGAGATAGCAAAAATCTAGAAACAAAATGAAGCCCATTCACTGGGGAACAGGTAAACAAGTTGTGGTACATGTGTATATTTGAATATTACTGAGAAATGACAAATATGAAGAATTCCCATAGACACTTGGGAAGAGTTATGTGACTTTGAAGTAAGCAGAACAAGGAAAACAATATATACAATGACTTTAAGAATGCAATGGGAAAGAACAAGAAACTAAATGCTATGTAATTTTAATGACTAATCTTAGCTCTGAAGAAATGAATGTATCTTTGTCCCTTCTTTGCAGAGGTAGGAACCTATAGATGTGAAACACTAAATATATACAGTCAGATTTGATTCATATGGTGGTTAGTTTTGCTGAGTTGCTTTTTTAAAAAACTGCTTTCTCCTTCCTTCTCCCCATTCTTTGTCACAAGGAATAACTCTCTGGGGAGAAGAGAAGGGAGAGAAATATTTAGAAATGAATGTAATGTGAAAACAAAAAATGGCTATGAAAATTTTTTTAGTGAAATGGATATTTTATGTCTGTCATGTCTTACCTAACTACAACATAAAGTTTAATATTCAGTCCTGTTTTTTCTTTCTTTTTTCCTTCCTTCTTTCCTTCCTCCCTCCTCCCTCCCTTCCTTCTTCCCTTTCTTCTTTCCTTCATTTTTCCCTTCCTCCCTTTCTCTTTTGGTTAAATGTTTTATATGAAACAGTGTTGAATATCAGTATAACCACTTTAATTTGCTTAGTAATCATATTTAAATTAATTCATTCACATATTTATAGAACTAGAATTTTTCAGCTAATCCTGCTAAGTCTTCATTTTCTTATTCATTTCGTTTATATGGGCATAATTAGTGTCTACCACATCCTTCTGGTTCTACTTTGTTCACTTTGCATTATTTCATAAAGATTCTTCCACATGTCATTGTATTCTTCATATTTGTTAGCATTATAGTATTCAGTTATGTTGATGAACCATGATTTATTTGACCTGTTTAACCATTCCCACATTGTTGGAACTTTGGGATGCTTTTTGGTTTGTTTGTTGTTGTTTTACAATTACATATAAAGCTGCTATGAGAAACATTTGAAAATATTTGAACAGATAACTTTTTTTTTAACCATAAACACTCAATAAAGAGAGGTACTACTCTCATTTAAGGGGAAAGCCTCTACAGAGCCAATCTGGAGAAAAGAACCTGTTGCCCCACATGCCCTGCATGTCAGCAGCTTCCAAAGTCTTTTTGCTTGTCCTTCTCTCATAGTTTCTAGAATCGCACATGGCTCTCTCCCCTTGTACAGTTCTGTAGCTGCCCAGCATTCTCTGCACCAATTGGGAATCATGTTTCCTTCTGAAAAGAAGGGAAAAAAACAAACCAGAACAGAATAGCAGCATTCAAAATTCTCCACACCCGGTTGGAAGCCTGTTTATATAACAGTTTAGAAGTATAAGACCAACAATAAAATTATTGGCTCAAACAATATAATTAATTTTGAGGCAAATAAATGGCATGGGGATTAGAGTGCTAGTCTTGAAGACAGGAAGTTTAGAGTTTGAATCCCACTTCAGATACCAGCTACAGAACCCTAGTTAAATCACTTAATTTCTAGATAGATGATGCAGTATATAGAATGCTGGGCCTTGAGTTAAGAATATCTTAATTCAAATCCAACCCCAGACACTTATTAGCTGTGTGACCCTGGGCAAGTCACTTAACCTCTGTCTGCCTTACTTTCTTCAACTGTAAAATGAAGATATTAATAGTACCTACCTCCAAGGGTTGTTATAAGGATCAAATTAGATTATATTTGCACAGGGACTGGTATATAGTAGGCACTTAACATATCTTATTCCCTCCCCTTTCCTACCTCCTCTAGCCTCAATTTCCTCAATTGTAAAATGGGGTGATGACAGCACATATTTTAAAGGGTTGCTGTGAGCATCAAAATGAAATAATATATGTAAAGTGCTTTGCAAACCTTTAAGTACTATGTAAATAGTAGCAATGGGGCAGCTAGGTGGCACAGAGTATGATAGAGTGCTGGGCCTGGACTCATCTTCCTGAGCTCAAATCTGGCCTCAGATACTTACCAGCTGGGTGATCCTGGGCAAGTCACTTAATGTTTGCCTGCCTCAGTTTCCTCATGTATAAAAATTAGCTGGAGAAGGAAATGGCAAACTATTCCAGTGTCTCTGCCAAGAAAACCTTAAATGGTATTATGAAGAGTTAGATAAAACAATAGCAAAAGATGGTACCAGTGTTATAATTTTTTTTTTTTTGCTTAGGCAGTTGGGGTTAAGTGACTTGCCCAGGGTTACACAGCTAGTAAATGTTAAGTGTCTGAGGCTGGATTTGAACTCAGGTACTCCGGACTCGAAGGCAGTATTATAATTTTTGTAACTTTTATTGCACGGTACTGTTCTTTCTATTCATTAATGCTGACTGACTACCCTTTCACCCAACCAAAGATAAGGTAAGATTGATTCTGAAGATGAGGATGAGGGCTAGAATTTTTGCAGGGTTGCTCTCTATTGAAATCATGGGATTTAGAGCTAGAAGGAACATTAGAAATCACCTGATTGAATCCTCTTATTCGACAGAGGGAAAAAGGATGAGACCTCATAAGGCTGTGTCCCATCCATGGTCATACAAGAAGTAAGTAGCAGCTTCTCAGCAATGCAACAATCTAAGACAATTACAAAAGACTCATGATGGAAAATACTATGCACATCCAGAGAAAGACCTATGGAATCTGAATACAGATTGAAGCATACCATTTTAGCCTGTTTTTTGTTTTTGTTTTTTCTTTCTCTTGGTTTTTCCCTTTTGTTCTGATTCTTCTTTCACAACATGACCAATATGGGAAAATGTTTAATATGCTTATACATGTATAACCTGTATCAGGTTGCTTGACATCTTGGGGAGAGGGGAAGGGAGAGGAGGGCAGGAAAAAAAATTAGAAACTCAAAATCTTATAAAGTGAATGTTGAAAAAAAAGAAGTAACAGAGCTGACTAAATTCAATCCCCTCTCCACTTCATCCTTTTGCCCCTCTTTTATACTACCTCATTTATACCAAGAAATGTAGGGCTGTATTTTGGGGACAGAAAATGCCTAATCCTGTTAGTTTTTATGAAACCCACGTAAGAGTCTAAGGTTGGTTAGCATATTGGTTGTAGGAGTGAGAAGATCTTTGAATAAGACTGGAAAATTTTGTTGCCAAGTGGGTTAGCTGATCTTTTCCACAGTTTTGTGTTATAAAAGCAGCATGTGGCACTTGTTCATCACTATTGATGGATTTTGTTAAAGTACCAAGGCCCTTTCCTTTTGATCCTGTTAAAAGGTTTCTCAGTCTCTGAAGTTACTTATCCTTCCTTTCTACAAAAGAGAATAGACCTTGGAAAAAAATGAAATTGGTTATAGGGGCCTGTCCTTTGTCTTTCCTTGTATCCTCATATCCCTTATACCTGGCGCACAGGAAGAGCTTCATAAATGATAGTTAATATTGACTGACTATCTTCACATCCCTGAAAGTCTCCTGTAGGGATAGCACAGACCTAGCAAGACCCCAGAGAAGGGTTAATGTTTTTGGATGATAAAAGAATGCGTTCCATGACTTTGCAACAACATTAGCAACATCAACATCAGCAACAACAGCACACGCCTCACTGCCATCACCAAAATCATACATGGTTTAAAATGCGTTAGAAAGCCGGTGGAGAATGAATGTGACTTTTTGAAACAGAAGAGACCTTGAGAATCCATTTAGTTCAACTCACTTGTTTCTACAGATGAATAACAAAAGGCTCATAGTAGGTAAATAACTTGTCATGGGTTAGTTGTTTGTTCTGTTTTGTGCTGGAAGAGGACCAAAATGACATCATTGTATCAGTGTCAAGGTACAGACTGTGGCTGATCGGACCAATACAAACTTGGAAGGCTCTACAATAGGTTGAGTAGAAATAATCCACACAAACAATTGGAGTAAAGATGGCTCTAAACGCGTGCATCTCATGTTTCCTTTGAGCTACTCCAACTGCTCATAGAGCGTAACACCTTTTTTGATGTGGGCATGCCATGCTGGGCGGTCCTGTGCCAGTAACTCCAAAGTCACGCAATTGATTTCAAAGTTCTTTGGAGCAACCTTGAGAGTGTTCTTGTATCACTTCTTCTGACCTCTGAGTGAGCACTTGCCTTGTTTGAGTTCTCTGTAAAATAGTCTTTTAGGCAAGCATATGTTTGGCATTTAAATAACATGGCCAATTCATCAGAGTTGTGCTTTCTGTGGTAGAGTTTGAATGCTTGGCAGTTCAGCTTGAGAAAAGACCTCAGTGTCTGGTGCCTTATCCTGCCAGGTGATCTTCTGAATCTTCCTAAGACAATTCAGATGGAAGTAGTTCAATTTTCTGGCATGGGGCTGTTACATTGTCCAGGTTTCACAGGCATACAACAATGAAGTCAGCAAGGGCTCTGTAGACCTTCAGTTTGGTAGGCAGTCTAATACCTCTTCACTCTCACATTTTTCTTCAGGGCCTCCCAAACACTGAGCTAATTCTGGAAATATGTGCATCAATCTCATCATTTATATGTACATCCCTGAAAAGTATGCTGTCAAGGTAAGTGAACTTATCCACGGCATTCAAAATTTTTCCATTTACTGTAACCGATGTTTGCATATATGGATGCTGTGGTGCTGGCTGGTAGAGAATCAATCTCTGTTTTCTTGGTGTCAATTGCCAGGCCAAAATTAGTACAAGTGGCAGAGAATTGATCCATACTCTGTTGCATCTCAGCCTTAGAAGCTGCCCTGAGCCTCTGAGGCTGAGATGCAATAGAGCAATGATCTGCAAATAAAAAGTCACACAACAACTCTCCCTCTACTTCAGTCTTGGCTTATAGGCTTTTCAAGTAAATAATTTATCATCAGTGCAGTAGCTGACCTTGATGCCATTTTTATCTTTCTTGAAGGTATCCAACAACAGCACTGAAAAAATCATGCTAAAAAGCATGGAAGCAAGTACACAGCCCTACTTCATTCCATTGGTGACTAAGAAGACATGAGAACATCATCCATTATCTAGAACCCGTGCAAACATGTGATAATGGAATTGGCATAAAATACTGATGAACTTCTTGGGGCAACCAGATTTTGCCATGATCTTCCATATGCCCTCACAACTGACAGTATCAAAGGCCTTGGTCAGATCAATAAACATCATGTATAGACCTCTGTTCTGTTCCTGGCATCTCTTCTGGAATTGTTGGCCGCAAACACCATATTAATTGTTACTCAGCCCTATCTGAAGCCACACTGGCTCTTGGGTAAATGACCATTTTCCAGGTGTAGGATCAACCTATCCAGGAGGACTCTGGCAAGAGTCGTGCTGGCAATGACAAAAGAAAACACCCCCCTCCCCCGACACGCCCCGGTGATTGTTAGAGGACAACCTATTTCCTTTTCCTTTATAGAGGTGGACAATGAAGGCATCCTTGAATTCCTGGGAGGATAACCTCCCCTTGCCATAGAACCTGGAAGATTTCAGTGAGCTTCTGTATGACCAGTGGACCCTCTGCCTTGTAAATATCAGCTGGGATAGAATCAGCACTAGGTGTTTTGTCCAAGGAGAGGAGTCTATTGGCATTCAAAATCTCTTCATCAGTTGAAAGTTCAGCTAGAGAGGGATGGACTTCAGCTCAAGGCATATGATCAATGGCTTCAGCATTGGTTGATGATGGTCTGTTGAGATGATTATGGAAATGTTCAGTCCATCTCTCCAGGATAATATCCTTATCACTAATCAATGTGGCTTCATCAATGCTGGGTAGTTGAGATGCACCATAGGTCTTTGGCACATAAATAGCCTTCAGGGCATCATAAAAATGCTTTGGATTGTTACTATCAGCGTAAAACAGAATTTTATCTGCCTTCTTACTGAGCCAAGAATCCTGCCTTTTTCTATGCTTTGCTTATACTTTACTTTTGATGGAGTTAAATGCCACCTTCTTAGAGATGGATGAATTGTCCTGCTGGTAAACCCTGTGGAGTTCTCGTTTTTCATTCAGTAGCTTCTGAATTTTCCCATTGTTTTTATCAAACCAGTCCTGATGTTTGTGAACTGTTCTGGCCCAGATGAATAAGTGCAGTGCTGTACACCAGATCTCTGAAACCTGCCCACTTCTTTTCTGCTCCACTATTGCCAATCTTGTGTTGGCTCAGCTTTCCCTCCAAGTCATTAACAAACTGTTCACACAGGGAGAAGTGCTCTAATCTGTTGACATTGATTCTTCTGGTAGTTGTCCTGCCTTGGGGCTGCTGCTTTTATTGATGACCATGAATGTTTAATTTGGAGAGAATAAGTCTATGATCAGTTCAGCACTCCACACTACACATCACTCTTTGTCACTCTCACATCCTGTCTCTTTTCCTTACAATAACATAGTCTATTAAATGCCAATATTTGCTGCAAGGGTGCATCTATGAAGTTTATTGGATTTAGCTAAAGGCAAGATAGTGTTCGTGATGAGAAGGCCATGAGTTGCACAAGTCTTCAGTAATAAGTTGTTGTCATTTCCAACTCCCTTCCTCCCAAGGACTCCCTGATATGTCTGATAGTCCGTGCCTACTCTGGCATTACAAGAGTTGTAATTACAACGTACAATTACAAGCTTGTCTTCTTTTGGCCCATTGATGATAAGGGTCTGCAAGTCTTCATAAAATTTTTCTTTGACCTCATTACGGTTTGTCATGGTGGAAGCATAGGCACTGATGATGGGGGCATGGTGCTTTCCTACAAGTGGCGCTTGCATTGTCATGAGCCTGTTATTCATTCCTGTTAGGAGGCATACACACCTGTTGGCTAGATTAGTTTTGATTGCAAAACCTATGCCAGCTTCACAGTGTTCCCCATCACTTCAGCCATTCCAGAAAAACATGCATCCGGCTCTGACTTTGGTCAGCTGGCTTTCATTTGCTCTTCTGGTTTCACTTAGGGCTGCTATTTGGTTGCAATATCTTCTGAGTTCTGTCCCAGCACGAGCTGTTCATTTTTCAGGTCTACTTTCATGTTGCCCATAAGCATGCACACTTTCCATGTACCAATGTGAATGGAATCATCTTTTGTTTTGTTTTGTTTTCCTGGGTTTTTTTTGTTTTTTTTTTTTTAGGCAGTTGGGGTTAAGTAACTTGCCCAGGGTCACACAGCTAGTAAGTGTCAAGTGTCTGGTCTGAGATCAGATCTGAACTCAGGTACTCCTGACCTCAGGGCCGGTGCTGTATCCACTGCGCCACCTAGCTGCCCCTGGAATCATCTTCATAAAAGTTTTTGTACATTTTTTTTTTGTGCATGTGTTTCAACCAAAGGGTGGGATCCCTCCCTGCCGTGGTAAGTATGCCAGGGTTAGATGAGGTGAAGCAGACAATTTTTAGGGTACCTTTTTATAGCCCCTTCCTCATGCCAGGAGGTGAGCAATGTGGTCCTTAAAAAAGCCTGCTCAGATACTGGGGGTCTGCTGAATTCCACTGCTGCTTCAGTCCAGTGAGAAGACTACACTTTGACCTGTGCTGCCTATGTGCAGAATTGTGACTGTAGCTCCCAGTGTATTTGCACCCACTGCTTTGTCACTTGCCCATCACCACAGGACTTTGAGGTAGGTAAAAATGGTAAAATGGTATGGGTGATATCTTTTGACTCAGGCATAAATTGGATTTAAGTGAGGCAGAGTTGCACGAAGCCTCACTCTCTCTTCCAGAGTCGTCAGAGTCCACTGGCAAAACAAAAGTCAAGATGCCTGGCTCAGGATACAGTGGATGACTTTGTGTCTTTGATATCTAACCAAGCTCTAGACATTCCACTGTGCCTGCTTCAGTCACCTTCATGGCCATTGGCACAAATTGTTCTCACCTGCCCAGTTTTCTGGAGAAAATCTTCACATGCTTGGGGTAGACACCCCTCTGACTTCACCAATGGGTTTGAGGTCCCTTGGTTACCTTCAACCTGGTTTGACCTGTCTGCCAAAATGGTTTACCAGGGTGTGGCCACTGCACACGTTACACCTTGGAGCCACAGGTGAGAGTTGGGTGGCAGGTGGACACCAGAGGTGAAAAGCAGCCCTTACACCTGAAGTACTAGTTTTTCCTGAGCACCCATATACCCCTGACCTTGGTTATACAGTCAGTAAGTCAGGAGGACCTAAGTTCCAATTCCATCTCAGACACAAGTTCCACCTCAAACATTTACTGACTGTGTGATCCTAGGCAAATCACTTTAACTCTGTCTGCCTCAGTTTCCTAAACTGCAAAATGGAGATAATAATAGCATCTACCTCTAAGGGTTGTTGTGAGGATCAAATGTGAAAATATTTGTAAAAAAATTGATCAACTCAGTGCCTGGCACATAATAGACACTATATAAATGCTTATTCTCTTCTCCTTTCCCCTTAAAGGGAAACCTGGAGTTGGAAAAAGTTCTGTACTTGGAGTCAGAGGATCTAGGTTTGAATCTTGACCCCAGGCCATTGACTGGGCCACCAGTAATCTTCATTACTAGTAAAGAATTTCAAACCCAAACAAATGCTCAATGGATTTTTTTTTAAAGATTTAGTGATACTCTTTGTGGTTTTATAAAAGAAATTATTACAACAATTTCTAGAAATGGAGCTAAGAGGCTTCTTTTTAAATTTTTTTTCATTCAACAAAAATTTTCCTTCTTTCTCTTCCATCCCTTACCCACCTAAAATGAGAAAGAAAAGCAATTTCTTTGTTTACAAAAAAACATATAGTCAGGGAAAACAAATTTCTACATTGGCCATGTCCCTCAAAAATATTTCATTCTGCACAGAGTCCTTTACTTTTCTAGTAAGAGGTGATCACGTAGCATGTTTCATCTTGAGTCCTCTAGGATCATGGTTAATGATTTCTTATAACACAATAGTATTCCATTTTATGTGTGTGTGTATATATATATATATATATATATATATATATATATACACACACACACATATACATATATATATAAAATACGCATACATACATACATGCACAAATGTATATGTAGGTATGTGTATGTCCACATGTGTATACATATATACAACATATAAATACAAATAGGTATATATGTATATTTTGACATCAGGAATGTTTGAAAGGCTTCTGTTTCATATGTATGTGTATATATATGTGTATGTGTATATATGTATATGTATGTATGTATATATGTATGCCATAACTTGGTCATCTGTTCCCTAATAGATGGGCAACTTGCTCATTTTTCAATTCTTTGCCACTGCAAAAAGAGCTGCTATAAATATTTTTGTTTGTTTTGCTTAGGACTAATCCTTCCCATAATCTACCCTCTTTCTTGTTCCCCTTTCTACCTTCCTCCTTTTTCTTCATGTTTCTTTTTTAGGGAAATGCATTTTTGTACCCAACTGTGTGTGGTTATTCTTCCCTGCTTTGACCATGTTATAAGAGAATGAGGTTGAACTGTTTCCCATTCCCTCCACCCTTTCTTCTTTGTTTATATAGTCTTCCACTTGAGCAGTCTGATTATGTGAGATAATTTCCCCTAATCTTTCTCTCCCTTCCCCTATCCCCAGTATATTCTTCTTACCCTCCCTTTCCATTCTTTTTTTATGATCAAGATTTAATGTAACTACTCAGAGGCCCTTTGTCTACTTAGACTTCCTTTATGACCTATGGTGATGAGAGGGTTCGGAGAGGATGTGTATAATCTTTCCATATTATAATGTATATAGTTTATCCTTTTTTAATCCCATATGATTGTTTGTTCAGGTTTACCTTTTTATGTTTCTCTTGACTCCTTTGTGTTTCATAGTTTCTCTGAAACACTGGCCCTTTCATCCGGAATGTTTGAAAGTCCTCTAGTTCAGCCAACCCAAATTAACTACAAAGGACATATAAAGGAAAAGAAACTGATCCAGAAAAAGAACTGATAAATAGAAATATGTATAGAATGATTTTACACACACACACACACACACACACACACACACACACACACACACACATTTGCATCTAGTGTAGCCACCTCTAGAGTAGGAGGAAGAGGGAAGATAAAGAAATTTACATGACAACTTTATTACATATTTAAAAGGAATAGCAAGTTGTACAGATTTGCAG